ATCAGGTCAGGTGTCCAGGAATAATTGAATAAAGCAAGCAAGCAAGCAAGCAAGCAAGCAAGCAAGCAAGCAAGCAAGCAAGGAAGGAGGGGTGGGTGGGTGAGTGAGAGACCTGGTGCTCGGGTATAGGTCGGTGGTTTGATGGTTGGATGGATAGATGAACAGACAGTCAGATGGACTAATGGATTTACCACACCTGGTGGACAGCGTAATGCCTATTGTAACAGGTTTTTCAACATGACTGGTAAGATAGCTGATAACAAATTAGAATTTAGAAATTGATTTTTGTGGAGAGAGGAAAAACCATAGCTAGAACCCTGAGAAAAACAACCCTCAATGCACAGTAGAGAACAAACGAACAACTCTAGACACTCACATACGGCACTGGCAGGACTCAAGCCCAGACTGACGAAAGGGAGAAGGAAGAGAGAGAAGGAGGGATTTTGGGAAGGAATGCAAAACCAAGATTCAGGAAATTTCCCTGCTAGCAGAGTCTCTCCTCTTTCTCTCCCTTCTTTAGGCAAAGAGGAGGGAGACTCTGAGGATGTAGAGCGTTTCCTCTGATATACCGCCGTCCACGATTGTGGATGAAAGAAACCAGTTTTAAAACCAGTTTTTAACTGAGCACTTATAGTGTGCACGAGCAAATGTAACACACAGTTGGGCCAAACTTTTTTGATGAGAGTAGCTGTCAAAATCATAATAGCGTTGCTAAGTTACGCCACTCAGGCTCGACAAGTATAACGTCCTACATTGGCAGAGTCTATTTTTCTCACCACCAAAACAAAAGGAAAATAGGCTCTTCTAGTGAACCAGGAAATAAGTAAGAGTGTTAAATGTAAACAATCTTATAGGTACAGTATATATACTCACAGTGAATATTGGTTTAAAGGATGGGTGAGTAGTTGGATCAGGAACAAAAGGTAAGGCATAAAATGGAAGAAACTCTGTGGTTTGGCTCAGCCCTGATCCTTTATTCTCTAAATAAGACTTGAATACTCTCATGGACCTTTCAAGCTCTAATTTATTCTGTTGAAAAGGAATGATTTAATCAATCAACTAACTTTAGTTCTGGATCAACATACACATATTGTATATGATACACCTATTAGCCATTCTGGGATGAGGAAAAAAATGGATTGATTTCACATTGCAGTGCATTGTGGGAATGTTTTTTGGGGTCATTTTCAAGATGGCATTGATCATAATAATTATTCACTTCACTTTTTTATATAGATTTAAGTACTAACATGTCTTCCATTGGTAATGGGATAAACAGCAAAGTAAATGTGTAGATTAAACTCCAGCTTTTGACACGTGGAGGCCATATTTTGTACACTAGATGGGACTTGATTGTTCCAAATAGGGAAAAAATCCTGGTATTTGCCATTGTCAAAAGCAATGAGAGCTTGAGTCTGAAAAAATAATGAGAAAAAAACATGTTAGTTTTAGTTCTATTGGCCTTCAATAAATGTTAAATACAATTAATAGCAAAGGTAGTAATTAGTCCAAGCTCAAGGTCAATTTTCAATTTACACATAAATAATGAAACAGTAATGAGAAAAGAGTAAATCTTACACTGTAAAAAGATGCAAAAATGAAAAAACTTACTGATGTTTCGGATGCTTTTACTCCAATGAAGCACTAGTGTCCGAAACGTCTTTTCATTTTTCGGTCTTTTCATGGTATGAAATTTAACCTTTTATCATTACTATTCTAAATAAAAACAGCGAGGTTCTGTAAAAAAATTATAAAGCAGTTTTCATATGAGTGGGAAATGCACGACTGACTAATACCAATAAGCATGGTAAGACATCATAACATTGACATGGCTTCAAATTGTCTTCCACTATTTCATCCAATTACAATGCATAGTTACGGCTGCAGTATGTCATGGTATGCATGGCTATAATAAGGTTATGAATTTCATCATAATTTATTTATTTCTCTTTTACTCCGACAAAGGACTAGCGCCCGAAACGTCAGTAAGTTTTTTCATCTTTTCATGGTGTATAATTTACCTTTTCATCATAATTAATTTATAGTTAATTTCACCATACTCAGAGGGAAATCATAAATTAATCTACAGTATAAGAGCACAGCCACCCTATTTTGTCAAGAGAGCCTCCTTAACAAAATACTGGATCCTCCGCTGACCAATTCTCACTTCACCAGCCTCACATCCGCTCACCTTATTTCATATAATTACTTTACTTCACTTCATTCCAACTCACCTCACCTCATTTAACCCCCACCCCCTTCCCCCATTTCATTTAATGCTGCTTTGCCTCACAATATTTTACCTGCATTTCTGATATCTGGGAGTCATTTCTAAGTGGAGTTCCACTAGTAATCTCTGGTTTTCCAAGTACTCTTAGTTCTTCAGATAGTGTGGCACATGTTTTTTCATAGCCAAGAAAATGTAGATACTGTCAAGAAATTTTGGTTTAGTTTATGTTGTAATCGACTGTTGCACTCAGGTTGAACAGGTTTTATTTCCACTAAAACACTTGCAGAGAATATAAATAAATAACTGATTATTTAGATGTTTTGTGGAGGGTGCAAGAGAAAAACCTTAAAGGTTTTTTCTTGGACCTTTGTCAATTAAGTTACATTTCCGGTGGAAACAAAAAATCCCCGGGCATCTGGGTCTGTGTTGACAACATAACGATTATAATGGATTTAAGATCTTTAACTTTGGGTATAAATATTTTTTGGGTATAGATATATGCTTTTTCCTTGAACAGAGTAATTTCACAAAGTAAATTGTGCATGTTGATTTTGATAAGGAAGATTTGAAAATTTTAATATAAGGAATGCGAATGAATATCTTTTTTGTGTGCGATCTTAGCGTGAAATGCCGACAAAGTTTTTTCTCTAACTGCGTCCTAAAGCGATTTTGAGAATAAGACAAACGAGATTACTATGAAAACTACGCTCAAAATAAGCAAATAAAATTCGTAAAACTATTTTTAAAAATTTATAATTTGTACGTAAGCTTTGGTGAAAGCATATCACCATAGTGATGATATATTCTTAGGTAAATACGGTAGTACCTCATTGATAATTGCATTCAGATCCGGCTCCACAGCAATAACGGCATCCATGTGGTCTAATTTATAAATATTTTCGATAAAAATACTGAAGAAGTTCTTTAAAAAGTCAACAGAAACGAAGGAAATTCAAAGAGTCACTTTGAAAAGTCCGCCATTTTGAAAACACGAGCGCAAGGGGTTATGGTAGAAATCAGCTGGGGGTATACCACAGGTAACCCAGCACAAGGTAATGGACTCTCCCTTGATATATTACAGGGTTTTCCAGTTTGGCTACTACACAAAACCTAAGATACTTAATTCCGATTAAATCTGTGAGTGCACCATAAAATTCAAATACGAATAAGCTACGGAATTAAAGCAATTCAAGCCTGGAAACACGGCCGGTGTATGATCCAACTGCTAACAGTTAAGAGCGACTGTCCAGAAATATCGAGCACGGGGCGGCCACAGTCAAAAAATAAAAGTCCTTCATTTTTGGTCTGTAGACACTATTAGATGAGTTGATGAACGTACTTGGGTCGGTTTTTCGATCTACGTAAAAAATCCGGATTTTTTTGAAAAAAACGATT